TAAAGTGATCTACAGAATTAGTGCAATCCCTATCAAACTACCATCATCATTCTTTACAGATCTAGAAAAAATAATTCTATGCTTTGTATGGAACCAGAGAAGACCTCGTATATAGCCAAAGCAATCTTAAGCAAAAAGAACAAACGGGGAGGTTTCAGTCTACCAGACTTCAAGCTGTACTACAAGGCTATAGTAACTAAAACAGCATGGTACTAAGGGAGGGGGAAAATGGCGGATTAGGGGTGACCTCCTGGCTCTCTGCTCCCAGAGTGGGAGGTGAAGAACACGGACACCCACACTCAAGTGAGGCGCTCCCCTACAGGATTAGCTTCGTGAATCTACAGAGAAGCAGCGAGGGACAAGCAGTCCCACGGATAAAATCAGGTGAACTCAAAAAGCACTCGCAAATTACCGGAGAGTTGGGACAAAGAGGAAGGGCAGCGCGGGATGGCCGCGCCCTGTGGCGGGCTCGCCTGGGCAGTGAGATCTGACTCACAGGAAGATGACTCTTCCTTTACCAAACCCCACTCCCACGCACGCAGGGAAATGCCAGAAGTCAGTGCGAAGTGGTAGCACAGACCGACAAGCAGTGGGGAGCCGAGACAGGAGCTGGGTCCATTTCGAACGCAGCAGAGCGCGGCACTGGGTCGCCATCGGAGGGGAGGGACCAGCCCGAGCGCGCGCTCCCCAGATCGGAGGCTGCCCGAGCCCACAGGGGAGAGTTTGGAGGCAGCTTCTTGCCAAAGGAGACCTCCAGGACTATATCGGGGGAGGAGAACTCCAGAAAAGAGGCTCTGCCCGTGGAAATCGCTGGGGGTTCAGCGGGTGCTGGGAGGGACACAGCAGAGTCCTCCTGCGGATGGGTCCAGAGTCGCCGTGTGTAGGGTGGGCGGCGGGCTCAGCGGGCGGCCCTGGGAGGCAGCTCTGGGAATAGGCCGGGGCAGACCCTGGCTCCAGATGCCCTCCCGGTGCAGTCGGCTTCAGTGCTGACTAGCAGTGGGTGGGGAGCCACAATTCAGGGAACCCAAAGCCTGCGACCGCGGGGACTTGTAGCCCGGGTGTCCGCCTGAGTCATAGCCGCTGCCTCTGCGGCAGAGCTGGTCGCGCCCTGTGAGGAGGAGAGAGGAGAGTAGCGCGCGCAGCCACTTTTTCTTTCGAATCTGCGGACAGTCTGTCCCAGCCACAGACTCAAGCCCCGCCTCCAAAAGGGTGGAAAAGAAAAAAAGAGCGATATTTCTGCTGAGTTTCCAGGCGGTCTCCGGCGGCCCTGTTCCATTCAGTCGCTGGCGCTGTCCGCAAAGGTGATGGGGAACTGAGGGAGA